GGGCTCGGGGCGGTCCCTGGGGGGTGAAGGGCCCTCAGCCGGGCTGGCCCCCAGTAGTCTCTCTCTCTCCAGGCGGGTTGTCTCCTCGCTGGGGCGGTTGTCCACCCGCAGGAGGCTCACCACGTTCTGCCCTTCGGAGCTGGCCTTGGACACCGTTGTGCTCCTGCTGGGCTGCCGGGCACAGGAAGTGCGTGTTGATGGGGGGTGCCCCCCGCCGGGAGTGTCCCTCTCTGCCTTAGAGCTGCCAGCCAACCCCCACCCCCACCCCAGGGCCCTCACACAGGTGTGCACAGCCCTTAGCTGGGCCAAACATGGAGAACAACAGCCTGCGAGGTAGCGGGTGCTTCCTCTGTGCCGGGCCCGGCTCTGAGTCCTTGGCATTGATTCACCCTCAACAATCCCAGGTCACAGTAGCACCTCCCGTGTGACCTTATGTGACACATAATGTGACACAGTAGCACCTCCCGTGTGACACATAAGGACACAGAGGCTCAGGGGAGGCACGCCACTTGCTCGGGTTATGCCATTAGGAAGCGTCTGTGTCAGAACGCGACCCCTGACTGTCCCACTCCAGAAGACTAAATGCCAGGCCCACTACTACCTGGAAGCCCTCCCGGGGCACCGGGCACTGGGCACCAGGCCAGCGACATTGTGGGAATGAACCCCATTCACTGGAGTCCCTTTACATCCAAGAGCCTGGCCCTGCACCTTCTCAGCTTCCCGTACCCCAGCACTGGCCCAAAGGAGGGTGCCAGGGAAGGCCCCCACCCCCACCCCAGTGGTGTGGTTGTGTCAGGGGTAAGGTTTGCACGGTTTGCATGGCACACCGTGAGCACTGACAAAAGGGGCGTGAAGGCACACTCACTATTGTGCGGCAACCCAGCGCGACAGGGCATGGGCCTGGCGGTCATACAAACCAGGACACAGATCTAAATGGGTTGCTGGCCAACTGCGTGGCCTTGCCTCTGTGGGCCCCTGCGCTTCCTCTCCCGTGAACGGGGACAGCAGTGCCCACGTCTGAGCACGGAGAGGACTCCGGAAGGCTCAGAGCCAGCGGCCCAAGGCAGAGGAGATGCCGGGCCATGGTGCGTGGGTTGGCTTTTTAAAATTCCTATTCTTGCTTCCTTAGCCCTCACACCTCCAAGGACCCGAAGGAGTCACGAAGAAAGTGGGGAAGGAAACACCGCTTCCTTCTGGCACCCAGTGTGGCCCACACCAACCCCCCCGGCTGGCAGGCCCGTCTGGAAGTCCCCATCAACCAGAGCCAGGAGCAGGAGGCTGCTGAGGGGGCAGGGGGGAGGGCTGAGACCTCCAGCCAGGCCCCCTGTGCTTACAAGCCCCGAGGTGGGGCAGACCCAGCCTGAGTCTGTGGTCTGGGGAGTGCATGTCCTGGCCTCCAGGTCTTGGCAAGAGAAGGAGGGTGATTTAGGGACAAGCTGCTGGTTCGGAGGGGTAAGGGAGGGGCTTCTTACTGTGGGATTCTTCCTGGGCCTGGAATCTGCATAAACAAACAAAAAGAGTCATGATTTCACCTCTGAGACCCCAGCAGCCTCCACCCCACCCCCAGCAGTTAGGGGTGCTGAGCTCCACCCAGGAGGGCAGGCCTTGGTCTGGAGAGTCAGCAACCCCACCTGCAGGCCCCTGAGTCTCAGGGCCAGCCTCCCCAGAGGGAGTCACTGGGGTCGGCAGCTCTGAGGAACCACAGTCCGCTGTCCTCTCTCACTCCAAGTGGACTCAGGAGACTCACCCATGGGCCTACCGGATGCCCGTGGTGGGGCGGTACCACCGAGAGGCCCCTCCCAAACAGGGCCTCGGAGGCTTCTGTGGAGTCAGAAGAGAGTCTGCTCACCCCAACTCCATCTGCGACCTCCAGGGCCTGAGGGGCCCAGAGCCTCCAAGGGTCATGCAGAACTCAAAGGAAGGACCTCACACCACAGGTGACAGAGAAAGGGTAGAGCCTGGGGACCTCAGCTGAACCCTGTGTCCAAACACACCCAAGACACACCAGGTGTGTCTGGACACACCTGGGACTTTTGGGGCTCCAGCCAGCCTGGTTTTGATTTTCTAGTACTTCGCACAGCTTCACAGTCACCCCACTTCCCTCGCCCTGCCTGGGGCCAGGGATTCTTAGGGCCCAGTTTTTATCTTCCCATCCCCAGCCCCACCCTCCACTCAATTTTTCCTTCATAGTAAATAGGATGCCAGGTCAGGGCCAAGTATATAGGACAGTTAACTGTGGCCCACTGGCCACCGGAGAACGCTGAAGATGGTGCCCAGCTGCCTAGTGGATCCAAGAGCAAAATCGACTGCCGTCACGCAGGGTCTTCACAAGACATGCAGAATCTAACAGCCCCCACGAGTCTGAGGGGTAGAGTCTGAGAGGGTTTGGTTAGGTGTACGCGGCTGGCTACCACCCCTCGGGAGAGCGATGAGGGAGTCTGCACGGGTGGAGAGCGTTAGTCTCGGAAACCCACAGGGGCGGCGCTACGCTGCTCTCTAGGGTCACTGTGAGTTGGAATCAACTTGAAGGCAGTGAGTGAAATTATTTCCATTTTCAGTATTTTCTGCTTTTTATCCCATTAAGGTTTTTACTATGTTTTGTCTAGTTACTGAGTCTTTTTGCTTTTTGTTGTTGCCTGTTTGCTTCCTGTTTGTGTTTTGTAAGATGTTCTGAACATAAAATCCAGGATGGGCAGATCTATGACACAGGAACTGGGCTGCTAATTGCCTAGGGGCTCGGCGATGGAGGACGGAAACGGGGAGCCAAACAATGGGGCTGAGAAGAAAGCGTGCTGAAATTGTAGTGACAACCACACCCGTATCCTTAACGTC